CTTGACTTGCATGTGAGAGTGAAAGTTGGGTAAGAGAGGGGTGCCTGGCTGGCTCAGTCAGAAGAGTGTGTGACTCTTGATCTTGAGGTTGTGGGTTCAAGCCTCACACTGAGTGTAGAGAGTACTAAAAAAAAAAAAAAAAAAAAAAAAAGAAAACTTAAAAAAAAATTAAAAAAAAGAAAGTTGGGTAAGAAAGGCTCTTATTGCTTTCCTGTGGAAAGTTCCACAAGGACCTTCAGTTTACTAATTTATCCCCATGTCTATGTGCAAATGTGTCTACCAGATGTCAGCTAGAGCCCTCTCTTCAGAGCTAGGTGAAATTGCTTTGAAAAACTCTTCTTTCAATTTTTTAGAACCAGATAAAGTAAGCTTCAGAATTCTATGAATTCTGGAATAGACATATTATCAAGATCCCCTTTGCTTTGGGGCTCTCCTGCTCATATCAACATGATATGTTGGTGTCCCTTTTCATTTGCTTCCACAAGAAATCCACCTGTACTGTACATTTGCCAGTTTTCAGTTCATTATCTGAAGCTGAGGGAGTTATAGCATGGTGTCACATCTTGAAACTTAAGTGCTTCTGTCATCTTGGTTCCTTGTCCTTTGCCCATCCTCCCTCCCCCAACCTCCATCGCTGTAAATTCTTTTCCTTCCATTATGCAGAGCAGTTTGGCTTTCCCCAAACTTAACTACTCACACCCCAAATCCTTAGCAAAACAAAAATGTCCTCTTGTTAGACTGACACATCAATAAGCCAGCTAGGTTATATATAAGTCTTGCAAAGAGAAATTATTCTTTAATATTGCAACACAGACAAGTGGTTTTACAATAGATACGACCTAATAAGAGGTGAAGTGGTAGCCTTTCTTTAGAATGCACATTTTTTTTTTGCATTAGGGCAGGTGAGCCTTTTTGGGAGGGGGATGGTAAACGTTTCCAGAGGAGAGTTGCCTTTTCTCTTTCTTCAGAGCCTAAAGCTTTGTGCTGTCTTATTAGTGCAGGTTGTAAAAAGAACATGGATCTTGGAGCCTTCTGTGCTCTGACACTTGTCAACTGTTTGATGTTGGAGAAGTTGCTTATTCACACTGAGCATCCATTTCCCCATTGTGAAATGAAGATACTAACACCTACTTACTTTACAGGTTTGTTTTGAGGATTAGAAGTAATGTAGAGGGCCTAGTATGATTCCTGGCACAGAGTACATGTTCGCAACAAGGTGGGCCATTATTATATGCTACAGTGTGACAGTGAGAAAGTCTGGAAGACAGCACTAACTGGTACATCCTTTGGGATGGCTGCTGGGACTATTGAGTGACAAGTAACTGAGGAGTGGTACTTTCATCAAAGTGCTGGAGAAAATAAAAGTGAATTTTCTGAAATGTTCAGTTGGATTCTCACAAAGAAGCTTACTTACCAATGAATGATCCTTGGTGATCTTGGGTTCTGTATCTTTTGATATGATTAATTGTTACAAAGATTCTATTTGGCTTTCATTTTAGGGAGTGGAAAAGAAATTCTAAAAGCTCTGTTCAAGGCTAAACATGCTCATAGAAAAATTCATAAAATCCTTAGAATTCGGGGCACCTGGGTGGCTCAGTCGTTAAGCATCTGAGATCGAGGGTCCTGGGATCGAGCCCCGCATCGGGCTCCCTGCTCCATGGGAAGACTGCTTCTCCCTCTCCTACTCCCCCTGCTTGTGTTCCCTCTCTCGCTGTGTCTCTCTCTGTCAAATAAATAAATAAAATCTTTAAAAAAAACCCTTAGAATTCAGAGAAACTGCATATCTGCAACAAATAAGATTGCAGTATCTTTCTAGGACTCAGGGTAAAACTGACAAGTGCTTTTCAAATCTCTGTATCCATTGGGATCTGTGGGCACAAGAATTTTCAAATTCTCTAACTTTAGGGTTTACTCTATATGCATCTGCCTCCCTCATTGCAATTTGTGCTATTTGCAAGAAAGTTAAAAGAAAATAAAGGGGATATTATCAGTCTGTCTTAAAAGAAGAATTCATTGCAACTTCATCTGATTTCATTTTTCATAGGCATTGTTTCCACAAATGTTTGTACCAGAGTGAAGTTGTATATGAAAAAAAAATTAAAAATCCATTGGTTTCTATAAAATTTTCAGCTAGGTATTTATGTAGAAGAAAATTTGCCCTTGAAATGAGCCACCTGTAAGAAAAACTGATAAGTATAATGAAAAGAACAGTCTATAATAGTTTTTCGATTACTGCAAGAAAATATAGCCAAGTGGACAATCAATTTATATGACCAGTTTGTATTAAATTAAAAGCCCCTAAATACACAAATTGATGATACAGTGAAATATAGGTTTGGTTCATTGGTTGAGCTTCATGATTTTCTTTGGAACTTGAAAGACTATGTTCTTTCTCCAGATAATCTGAAGATCTTGTTGGCTGGAGGAAACTCTGTGTCAGATCATTGCAGATCCTCTAAGCTCTGTTTATCTTTCCAGGGCCAGGATGAGTTGTTTCAGCCCATTTGGTCTGCCACCCTGTCTAGATGGGCTCTGCCCAGCTGTGGGAGTGGACACTGACTTTCCCCACCTGGGGGACTGCTTTTGCTCCTGAAGTGTGAGACCACAGGACCTGCTCTGTGGCCAGGCATGTATGGCGTAGATGGACAGGGGAGTCAGCCCTAGTTTTGAGAATGAGAGATAAGCACTGGTAGATAAATTCTTACTTCCCCACTCTCAGATGAACTACACTGATCTGGCCCTTTAGAAACTAGTCTTGCATGACTGAGTTCTCTGTTGCAGTTGGTGTGACCAGCACAGCAATGCGCCCCTGTATTTACTCTCTTTCCTACCCTGCCTCATGCTCTTTCTCCTCTGCTCTTGTTTCCCATGGGGCTACTTTCCCTAATAGATCTGTAGCACATAAGCTCTGTTTTCTGGGGAACCGGGCTAATACAACTTTCTTCTCCTTTTACCAATGCCATTGTACCAATATAGACTTCATTTATGATTCATCAGTATATGTGTAAATGGATTCTCTCTTTTAAGACATAGAGCATTTTTGTCAGGTAGCCCATGGATCCTCAGAGGTACACATTCAAAGGGTATCCATAACACTCAGTATTTCAGTAGTTTTACTACTTTGGCTTTGGTCCGAACAAACAAATTGCATTTAATGTGTCAGATCTTGTGTACATTAACCCAGTGACAATTCCATTTATTTACAAAGCTAATGTGCCCTGAGTAGCTAAATATGAAGCCAGGATGATTTGTCATCTCTCAGTGGGGAAGAAAAGCAACTCTGTTCCCTGTCTTTTCTTCATTCTAGATTATTGGAATTCTCCAGGTTTGTGACATAACACCAGCTCCATAGCCCAAATCAAACTATTAGATATCACATTGATTTTGGGTTAGCTTTTCCTGTGTAAAGGGGTTAAGAACTCTCTCTTTCTGGCAAATAAATAAATAAATCTTAAGAAAAGTGGGGGGGTAAGAACTGTACCTAGCTGGAATATATATGTAAAAAAAACCTCTCCAAAACAAAAGGAATAAAGTAATTTCTTGAGGAAGGAAAATGTGTTCATTAGGATGAAGTTGAAAGGTACATAATGGGGCACCTGGGGGACACAGTTGGTTAAGCCTCAGGTCATGTTCCCAGGGTCCTGGGATTGAGCCCCACGTCAGGCTCCCCACTGAGTGGGGAACCTGCTTCTCCCTCTCCTTCTGCCCCTCCACCTGTCATGCTCTCTTTCTCTCTCAAATAAATAAAATCTTTTAAGAAAGGAAAGGTACATAATGTAGAAAAGAGACAAATATAGAAGTTATATATAGTGATTTGAATAGAGAGCAAGAAGACTCAGGAAATAGTACTCTGAACTGATCTAGCCCAGGGAAATAATAAATGCTTGCTCCATCTTACCTGTACTGGCCCCCTTTGTGAGCCAAGTAGGATATAATCAGACACTTCTTTTGGAAAGTGTTTATTTGGTTCATGTCCTGGTCAAATTGTGCTGAGCTTCCTCTGTGTTAAGGAGACTCCGTTGCCTTACTAAAAACGGATGTACTCTCAGTCTTAGCTACTGGTGTGGACATTTTTGTTGCTTTTGCTTGCTCACTGTTCCTCCCCACTTTTTATAGTAGCAAGACATAGAATTTTCTTTGAGGAATCATCCCTGACCCAGCTGTCAGTCCGTACTTTAGATAGGACTGATTATCTTACCACCCCCACCAGTTCCAGGATTTCAGAGGATTAAGCTAATTAGCATATATGTCCTCCTCAGTATAGTGATTGGCTCAGGAATGGGCATGTGACTGGATTTGGACCAATGAGGATTAAGCCTGGGATTTTTACTGGAACTACTGGGGAAAAGAAGGACTCTTTCGGTTGGTTTGGAGCTTTATGACTAATTTGAAGGTAGTGGGGGGCCACCATAAGTTAAAAGGCTATGTAAGCATGAAGTCTACATGAAAGATATTTCTATAGAGGAAAATCTACACAGAGACATGAAAAGGGCTATCTCCTGACCAATACTGATTGAGCACTCAGATCCAGCCATGCCTGAATCCTGAAATTTTCAGATATTACAGTAAATAAATTCCCTTTATGCATGAGCCAGTTTGATTTAGCTTTTTGTTACTCATCACAGAGAGTCCTAATTAACACGTGTTCAGGGTAATGGGGATAGAGTGATAGCCAAGATGAGTATAATTCCATTAATAATATTTTGGAACATTTTGAGAGAAGGCAAATGGTCCTTGAGCTGCGAAAATTTATATCTTACCTCCCTACCCCATCACTGTGGCCCCTTTTGAAAAAGTAGTCCCCCATCAGCCTTTTACTTCTCCCCCCACCTCTGTGCCTTCCTCCTAAGGAAATTTGTTTATTCTAGTAGATGCTTATGAAATAAATGTCCTTATATCCCTGTAACCCTCCCTTTGGAAGTAGCTGAGGTGAGAAGAGCAGGCAATCCTGTACTTCTTTAGAAAATAATAATATTTAAAGAAAGAGACAGGCAAGTATGTCGGTTATAAGCTTTTTCTTTTTTCTTTTTTAGAATTGAAGCTTATGAGTTTATCTACGCCCACTATATTCATAATTACAATTTAATATCTGCATACAAAAGCTATGTAAAAATTCATTTTTCCCAAATATACAAATTTTCTTTTTGGATAGTTTAAAACATTTTGATCACAGATTTTAACAGAGTTTTAGGCTGAAAAAAATATTACCAACTTAGCAATATCACTTAACACTGTTTGCAAAACACATATCTTCCAATGACTGTAAATCTTTTCCTATTCTGTAGTATTTTTCTGATTCTCAGGGCATGAAGACATTATGGGGGGGGCGAGAAACGTGTTTTTTCTGGGGAAAGCATAGAGAACTAACTTGGCTGTATAATCAAATGAAAAATGCCAAGTTAATTAGGAAGAACCAAAACAAAGAAGTGGTGTAATGTCAGCTCATTCATGCCCTTACATCTTTTATAGCAACAATACCTGTGTAATTAAATAAAGTGTCTTCTTTTGTCTTACATTGTGCTCCATAATTTACATGAGTATTGTCTGCATCCTGAGGAGGACAGATTTATATTTGATTGTCTTGTGCATAAGGTGGGTCAGCTTTAACTGTGCAAAAGAAAGCCACAAACAGCGTTTTACCTGCACGATATTGCTCTTGAAGGCGGCATTAATTAATGTGGAAACACACTAGAAATGCATACTTTTTGCATTTGCAAACATTTATACAGCACAGTAAAAATTCTGTGATAAGGCCAAACCTTTTTTCCCCCCTAGTCTGTTTTTTTTTTTTTGTGTCTGTTTTTAATGTATTTTTTTTTTTTTAAAGATTAAAGTAAAATGTTTCAATTGTAAAAAATACACACCGGGCAAATCCTTACCTGGATAATAAATATCTACATCACAGTACAATAAAATTTCTTCTCTATAAAATTTAAATATGGATTATAGTCTATCACTATCAAAAGAAACACTATGCTAATATTTCCATATTATTAAAATAACAGGAAAAATTACAAGCTTATTTTAGAACCTGATGCCATAGCTGTTGGAAAGGGCAAAGAGATTCAAATGTCTGTAAGCACTCTCCTTTGGGAGAAGAACTGCGGCTTGGTTATTCACTTAAATTCAGTTTGTGAAAAAGGTTTAGCCTTACAAATGCTGGCTACATTTCAAAAACCATAAGACCGATTTCATAATTTATGACTCATGCATCAAAAGGTCAATATGACACAAATAGGTTAGAGTTCCATAGAATAAAAATGGATCACTGACAATGACATGCTTTGAGGGTTCTCAGCAGTTCCATGGAGGCTGAGTCTGTCGGGGGCTTAGTGTTGTGGAGGCGCCAAGACTTGGGCACCTGTCCACAGAAGAACAATGAGAATGGCGTTGCTGGAGCAGAGCTGAGCCTGGTGGTCCACTCCGATGACCGAAGACCGCACTGCAGATGGAAGAGGTGTCACTTGGGGCACAGGTGAGAGGGAGTATCACTGGGCTGAGGCATCAACACGGCAAGCACGTCATTGAGGACCGAGGCTCGTTTGACTAGAAAAAGCTCTGAGGCAGCACGTGGTGTTTTGAGCAGAATCATAAAGAAGAAAAGATCTTACTTTTTTCACTATTTCTGGAAATACTGCACATCTAAATTGAAGAGCAAAGTACACTTGAGGATTACACACACACACACACACACACACGCGCGCGCGCGCGCGCACACACACACACACCCCACACCACTCATCCCCGAACGTGAAGTGATTTATAAATAAGAATCCCAGTTGTACAGGTGTGTTCTCCTGTACTGGGATGTCTCCCCTCTGTGAGGGGTTTCAATCAGGTCCACACTTGATCTGAAAGCCCGGACAATATAAGAAAAAATGTTAAAAAAAAATCCAGGGTAAATCCCTCCTGATTGAGTTTTATGAGATGGAGTCTTGAGATGCACTAAGTACCTCAACGAGTTACAGAAGAAATGAATCATTTTGACCCCAGGGTCACGATCCTTTGAGTCTTTACAGCCTTTTCTTTCAAACTGAAGTACTTTAAGGAGTGTCCTGCTCAGCATAAAGTATTCAGCCTACAACAAGAGTTTTAGATCAGCAGTTTGCCTGTTTAAGGCAGTCATTTAAGGAACCGAGGATCAGACATAAATTTACTTGGGGCTGGCTGGATTACTGTAGATATACTGTAGCATTTGGCCAATGCCCAGTCATGGTTAATCCCCAGAGCATTCAGATTTAGCCTTAGATCAGGCTCTGTACTTATATTTGAATCTGGGTGTGTCTCATATACTCCAGAAACTGTCAAACAAATTGAGGAAACTTTCCCAGGGAAGGCTTGATGCCTAACGGGTCTGTGAACCCTCCAGTACCCCTCCTGCTTGCATTCCTTTCATTCCTTCTGAGAGAAAACTTGCCCCTCACCCGCAGAGCTTCTCAGAGTTACCCTGGAGTGTAGAAGGTAATTCAGCATTATGTTTCAAAGGGTACTTCTTCAAGGAGAGTCAACAGAGAGAGCTCAGTTGCTAACAAAGCAAGGACTTCAGGAGACTGGCTAGAGGCTGCCTTAGAGAAAACAAAACAAAACAGACTGTCTGTAGATAAAGCCAAAGCAGGTAATCTGCCCATGAACTTCATGTTTATAATTTTAATCTCTTCCCCTACTTCCTTTCTTTGCTTAGCTAGTTCCGTAGCGATATGGCTTCCTCTTCCTTAGAAGCCAGTATAATCATTTCGTGCATTAAACATATCTTTTTCCTTCCAGATTATTCCCAGTCACACTTAAGTTTTTCAGTGCTGTTCCTCTCCTTTTTCCAAGGCCATCCTGCCTTTCTCTACATAGCTGATGAATAGTATATCAAATTCTTGTTTTGACTCAACACCAAGTATGCTTTCCCTAACTGTTGAGGGCCATAATTTCTGTTTAATAAAGCTAGAAATTTGAATATGAAAGAAACCATCAAAAAGGAACAGATTTCTCCCCCCGAAACTAGTACAATATTAAGGATGGGAAGGATTTTAAGGTTCATGACTTTCTCCCAGGTGAGAAAACCAACAAGGTCACAAATCCACCAGTTGCCAGAGTACAAACTAGAACTCAGGCACCCTGATTTCTAGGCTAGTTAAAAAAGAATTAGTCCACTTGATTTTCATAGTGACTTGCATTCCTTTGTTTTTAGTTAAATCTCAGTGATATGGCTTATTTTCCCCAATATTTCCAGGATAAGGCAGTTCAAGGCAGGTAAAGGAATAGTTCATGTCTACTATGCCGGTGAAGAACAAGATACATTCAGTTGCATGGGTACATTCTTTGCCCATTTTCTGAAGTTGAAATGATTAGGGGTCACCATGGGTTTTCTGGGCACAACCTACTGCAGTGTTTGTCATCAGGGAGGCAGGTTAGGCAGGGAAGGTGAGGATTCGTGTACATGGTCTGCAGGTATCTTCTGTGAAATATCTGTCAGGGCAACGCTCTAGGAGGGACAGGGAGGGTCAGTGGCCAGACCAGGCTTTGTTCAGTGACAGTCAAGCCTGAGAGTCAGAGGGAAAAGGGGACTAGGAAACAGTTGTTTGTAGAGCAAAGAGCCTGAGGATCTAAGACCAAAGGGAACCATCAGCACATGAAGAGACTCTCAGAACACTGCACTTCGTTCAACTCAGAATGCACCACACTTATCTCTCCTCAGAATTCCTCCAGAACAAGACTCAAATTTCAGCTTGTTATCTCTCCTTGATTAGAAGATTTAATCCATAGGGAAATCTGTTGTCAGCTCAGCAAAGATGCAATCAGGATTAAATAACTTCAGGAGTTTGGGAGATGACAGATCAGATGTCACTGAAAAGTGACAACACTCTGTAAATCGGTTTGATTTTGGTGGAAATTTTCTCTGAGCCTAAACTGTAAAGAAGCCTTCCTACTCTGAGGTAACACCGTGTGGATTTTTGGAAACTGTTGAGTCACTGACATTAGTGAAGCTTTCTAATTTCTTTGGGCTTGCTGAGGAAAATTGTTTCCCTCGTTGGCCTCAGTCAGTCAGATACCTGCACATCTTTGAGTCACACCCTTGTATAACTTGAATGAAATCATAGGATTATAAAAATCAGAGTGAAAGGACAGCTGATTTTTCAGGAACAAATATTCCTATACATCCCAAGTCATGTTGCCAGGAGAGAATGAAGAGTGCTGAAAACAGCATGCTCTTGAATAGATAAAAATCAATTCAGACCTTTCCCTAGAAAGCTGAAAGCCACATCTAACCAAAGGTGGTCTGCACCATGCTAATTTGAGCCCTTCAAAAATCAGGACTGGATCAAGATGACCATATTATCTTGGTTTTAAGGCTTCATTAGTCTTCTTCCACGCCATTTTGCTTGCTTGAGTCTCTGACCAGGGACTGATGGGAGCTGGTGATGGCTTGGTGCTGGTGAATTAATGATTGTCCCCACCCTACCTCCACAACTGTAAAACCTTCAAAGCATTCACATCAAAGGGCTGGAGAACAAAATGCAATAGTTACAAGTACCCGCATTCAAGGGGCAATTTCATCCATGTCTATGCTAAGGACTACCTCCCTTTATCCCCAAACAGTCCCTCCCAACACAAAGAAACAAAGGAACAAACAAAAAAGATCTAGGCAATGGAATGAAATGACACCCAGTAGTGCTGTAGGAATTACGAGAATGAAGTCAGTCAGTCTAATCCTCGAACACTTCCAAGAACAATGGGGGAAAGAGTTCCGTGGGGCATTCCACCTTCATGTGCAGGAAGCGGCTGGCATGGCAGGCTCCAATCATCCGCAGGTCTGTCACCTTCATCAGGAGTTTTGGCCAAAAGTGTGTCACATGATGTTTTCGGTAATTGATATAGTGTTCAAAGGCCAGCAGGAAACTATCTTGGTATTTTTCTATTCTTTCAACGCAGGCAAGCCCTGGGCGGTCTGAGGGGAAGAACGAAGATGAATGTTAATTTACAAGTGGAAAGGAGAAGCCCTGCTTTGTCCAATTCAAGCCCTTGAGTGTGAACTGGGAAGATCTGGGGACCTATCAACTCCTAGGATTTGAGCATGGATGCAACATGAGCTCTGGGGCATCAGGGACCACGGTCTCAGGAAGTGTCACAATTTACATAAAGGGAGTCAGTGCTTTGTTCAGATAAATGTATCTAGGTTAGACAAATCGCCTCCTTGGATGGGAATGGCGATGCCTCCCTCTTAGGGTACAGAAAGAGAAGTCTCACCTCGAGAGTTGAAATACTGTGCATAATAAGGGGTAGATTTTGAGTTTCCCCTGGCTGCCTGGCAGAGAGGGGAAGACAAGCATGGACATGCAAAGAAGGGGAGATGTGAGAAGAGACTGGAAATGTTGCAGGAAGCCTGAATGCCAAAGGAGGAGTGTCAGACAATGAGAAATTCTCACGAAGACATAGAAGCACAATATCCAATTTTAGTTGTTTACCAGGCTGTAATGAACTACTCCTTCCTATCCCTTATACATGTGGTAAAACTGCTACCTGTAGAGCCTTTTGTTGGTGGTGTTTTGGGGAATTAAAATGAAAAGAAAAGATGTGAGCCATGCTATATCACCCGGTGCAGAGAAGGGAAGAATCACGGTGGGAAGCTGGAGCTAGAGGAGACCATGACTGTGTAATGACCAAGAAATCTTCCCAAGTCTTGGGAGGACTGCTGGCCATCCCAAAATATGTGGGAGGGGACTTAAGGCAGTTTCACAAAAATGATAAAGGGATGTCATGAGAAGGGTAAATGACTGGGGAACATCCAGGCTGCAAACACTTGGGGTACAAAAGTGGGTACAGAGGGAATGTACCTCAACATAATAAAGGCCTATATGACAAGCCCATAGCTGACATCATATTCAGTGGTGAAAAGCTGAGAGCTTTTCCTCTAAGATCAGGAACAAGATAAGGATTCCCATTCTTAACACGTTATTCTACATGGTACTAGAAGTTCTAGTAAGAGAAATTAGGCAAGAAAAAGAGATAAAAGGCATCCAAATTGGAAAGGACAGTAAAACTGTCACTATTTGCAGATGACATGATATTATATATAGAAAATCAAGGGCACCTGGGTGGCTCAGTTGGTTAAGCGACTGCCTTCAGCTCAGATCATGATCCTGGAGTCCCGGGATCGAGTCCCGCATTGGGCTCCCTGCTCGGCAGGGAGTCTGCTTCTCCCTCTGACCCTCCCCCCCTCATGCTCTCTCTCTCTATCTCGTTCTCTCTCAAATAAATAAATAAAATCTTTAAAAAGAAAATCAAGACTTCATCAAAAAACTGTTGGAATTAATAAATGCATTCAGTAAAGTTGCAGGATACAAAATTAATACACAAAAATCTGTCTTGTTTCTATATACTAATAGTGAATTATCAGCAAGAGAAATGAAGAACACAATCCCATTTACAATAGCATCAAAAAGAATAAAATACCTAGGAATAAATTTAACCAAGGAAGTAAACAACCTATACACTGAAAACTATAAGACATTGATAGAAGAAATTGAAGGAGACACAAATAATTGTAAAGATATTCTGTACTCATGGATTGGAAGAATTAATATTGTTAAAATATCCATCCTACCGAAAGCAGTCTACAGATTCGAAGCAATCCCTATCAAAATTTCAATGGCATTTTCACAGAAATAGGATGGACAATGTTAAATTTGTATGGAAACACAAAGACCCTGAATAAGCAAAGCAATCTTGAGAAAGAAGAGCAAAGCTGAAGGTTGCTCTCTGATTTCAAACTGTATCACAAAGCTGTAGTAATCAAAACAGTATGGTATTGGTATAAAAATGGACACAAAAGTCAACGGAACAGAATAGATAGCCCAGAAATACACTCATGCATATATGGTCAGTTAATTTATGACAAAGGAACCAAGAATAAACAATGAGGAAAGGACAGTCTCTTCAGTAAATGATGATGGGAAGACTGGACAGTCACATGCAAAAGAGTGAAACTAGACTCCTGTCTTACACCATACACAAAAATTAACTCAAAACAGATTAAAGACTTGAATGTAAGACCTAAAACCATAAAACTCCTGGAAGAAAACAGGTAGTAAGCTCCTTCACATTAGTCTTGGTGATGATTTTTGTGGATCTGATTCCAAAAGCAAAGGCAACAAAAGCAAAAATAAAGTGGGACTACATCAAACGAAAAAGCTTCTATACAGCAAAGGAAACCATCAAAAAATGAAAAGGAAACCTATGGAATGGGAGAAAATATTTGCAAATCATATATATGATAAGGGATTAATATCCAAAATATAAAAAGAACTCCTACAACTCAATAGTAAGAAAACCCACAATTGATTAAAAACTGAGCAGAGGATCTGAAGAGACATTTTTCCAAAGAAGACATACGGATGGCCAGCAGGCACATGTAAAGATGTTCAACATCACCAATCATCAGGGAAATGCAAATCAAAACCACCATGAGATATCACTTCACACCTGTTAGAATGGCTGTTTATCAAAAAGACAAGAGATAATAAGTGTTGGTAAGGATGTGGAGAAAAGGGAACCCTTGTGCACTATTGCTGGGAATCCAAATTGGTGCAGTCACAATGGAAAACACTATGGAGGTTCCTCAAAAAATTAAAAATAGAATTACCATATGATCCAGTAATTCCACTACTGAGTATTTATCCAAAGAAAACAAAACACTAACTTGAAAAGATATATGGACCCCATGTTCATTGTAGCATTATATAAATAGCCAAGATATGGAAACAACCTAACTGGCCATCCATGGACAAATAGATAAAGAAGATGTGGTATACAAATACAATGGAATACTAGTCAGCTATAAAAAATGAATGAAGTCTTGCCATTTACAACAACATTGATGGACCTTGAGAACATTATACTAAGGAAAATAAGTCAGAGAAAGACAAATACTGTATCATCTCACTTATATGTGAAATCTAAAAACAAAGAAATAAACAAACAAAACCAAGCTCGTAGAAACAGAGAACAGATTGGTGGTTGCCAGAGGCTATAGGCTGGGGTGGGCTTAATGAATGAAGGGGGGGCGTCTCAAGGTACAAACAAACTTCTAGTCATAACATAAATAAGTCTTGGAAATGTGATGTATGGTATGGTGACTATAGTTAATGATACTCTATTGCATATTTGAAAGTTACTAAGAGAGTAGATCTGGAAAGTCTTCATCACAGGAAAAAAAATTTTGTAACTATATATGGGGACAGATGTTATCTAGACTTATTGTGGTGATCATTTTGCAATATATACGAATATCCTATCATTATGTTGTACATCTGAAACTAATACAACGTTATATGTCAATTATACCTCAATAAAAAAATAAAAAAATAATAATTTATAAACCTGGCTGGATTCCTCATATAGCTCCAGGGAGCCCAACCACCTCCCCCACCCACCAACTACTCCTCCATTTATTTGCTCTTTGTGGCTCTGATCAAGTAAGTTCACACTTTAAGTGTCCAGTTATTGAAGGATCTGTATTAGTAAAAATCAAAACAGGGGTCTGCTTAATCTATAAGGAAGGCTCAGCACTAATGTCTCAATTCCCTCTTCTGAGTTTAAACAAAATATATGGGCTTTTGGCATCCCCTATTTGGCTTGAATTGTCATTTGTGCATTTTTATGTTGTGTTTTCCTTTGTATTTGATGCTGCTGCTCTGTGGATCTCCTCAATTCCTCTCCCTCCCCCCCTTCTCTTCTCCTTTCTTTGAGTGTGCCAGAAAAATTCTCCACAGGATCCTTTTCCTTTTAATCCAAATAGAAAATCAACATAATACTGCTCTGGATGTATTCCTTCAAAGGGGAAAAAAAAATAACCTGGGTTTTGTGGTCTCAAAATTCTGTCCTTTGATGAGAGATAAAGATAAGGTGGTCATATAAATGACACAGAGGAAATGAAAGGACATTTTGATCATGTTCAGGTGGTATTAAGCATGTTTATGGGGCGCCTGGGTGGCTCAGTTGGTTAAGCGACTGCCTTCGGCTCAGGTCATAATCCTGGAGTCCCGGGATCGAGTCCCGCATCGGGCTCCCTGCTCGGCAGGGAGCCTGCTTCTCCCTCTGACCCTCCCCCCTCTCATGTGCTCTCTGTCTTTCTCATTCTCTCTGTCTCAAATAAATAAATAAAATCTTAAAAAAAAAAAAGCATGTTTATGAAGAAGTATTTTAAAGGTCAAAGACAGTTTTTAACTCCTTAAGACAGAATTTCTCAAAGATAACTCCTTCGGATCATTTCCATTTTAGCTCTCCGTTCATCACTGCAGGACCAAAGAACTTAGTGGTAGCAGCTCCTGGAAAAGGCTTTGAAGAAGAGGCCTAAGATACTGTGTAACTAATGCTACACAGAACAATGGGCTTAGAGGACAACCCTGAGAAGGGCTGGAGCCAAGGGGCACCGATATGGAGCTATCATGTGCCAGTGTAAAGTGTCTTGTAATATTTTTCTGGTCCTGGCAGTATTAATGAAAAATGCCCAGGTCGTTAGGGTGGAGAAGATTTTTAAAAGGTTTTAAGTATGTCACGTGGCTGTCAGGTGGTGACAGCGTCATCAGAATCAGGATGGGGAAGAATCGTCTAGTTAAGTGCTTGATAGAGTTTGGTATCATATTCACAACTTTTGCCTTCTCCACATACTTTTATATACCTTACTGAGATTATTTGCTTAACAGTCTGTTAAAATTAACCCACTACAGAGGAAACATTTTTATCATTCAGTAAATAAAAATCCATTTGCCATACATAGAAGGTAACCACCAAAATGGGTGTGTGACAAAAACCTTTATTAAACTTTAGCTGAAGATTCTTGCCAAAGACTGCACCAAAGACCCACTCTGTCTGTTAAAAAGGGAGGTCAGTGAGTTTAGAGAGGCGTTCAGGACAGACTGGCACCAAAATGAATCTCTCTCCTTGCCTTATTTAGAAGGAGATATAAGCAGAAAGAAAACTCTAAGAGAAAAAGCTTTCTCACTATATGGTTCAATGTTATTTAAAATTGTCTTTGTACCGCTACAATTTCAGCTAAAAATTACCTTAAATCCCCCCTCCAGGAATATAATTCCCACTTAGCTCAATTTCTTTATTTTAAAAGACACTGAAACCCAGAGAAGATAAGGGGTTGATTCAAGGTCCCGTAGTGAGTCCTTAGATAAGTTACCTATTTTATTTCTTTAAGAATAATTCTCCTGAGGGACTGAGGACCCCAGTTTCTCACTGGCTGTTGACTAGAGACCACCCTCAGCTCCAGGAGGCCACATGCAGGTCTCTGTCATGTGAGTTTTCCCAACATGGCTGCTTACTTCAGCCAGCCTGCAAGGAGAGTCTCTGGAGCAAGTCTATTAGCAAGAGGGAATCTTATATAACATAATGTAACCTCATCACATGAGGGTGACATTGAATTCATCATATTCTGTTGAAGCAAGTCATAGGTTCTGCACACACTCAGTGGGAGGGAGTTGTATAGGGGGTAAACATCAGAAGGTGGGCAACATGGGGGGCGCCCTACAGCTTGTCCGCCACAGCATACAACAGGGTTCCTTATGCTATTCTACCTACTTATGTTTAGGTTTGAGATTTTTCATAATAAAAAGAATTTTTAAAAAAAAATCTTCCATACCTAAATGTTCTGTAGCAAATACATTTCAAGATGAGCTTAAAAAAAAAAAAGGAATTCTACTGAGTGAACCAGAGTGCATGAACTTTATAAAGGATTCTCATTGTACTTGTGACTGATAATTTACCCATCTATTTAGTCATTTAGCCAATAAACTTTTTTTCAAATTCTACTAAACACTGGCCTAAGCAGTAAGTGTACAATTAGACATACTTCTGTCCTCAAAAACGAAACAGTCTAGAGGGAGAGGTGGCTAAGTTAAGCTGACAGCTATAGTGCAGAGGGACAAGCGCTGAGGCACAGCGGAACGGACTGTGCTCTGAAAAGGCACAGGAGGCCTCTGAAACTACTTTCTATTTATTTTTTATTTAAAGATTTATTTATTTATTTGAGAGAGAGAGTGTGCAAGTGGGGGGAGAGGGAGAAGGAGACAAGCAGACTTACTGCTGAGCAGGGAGCCCCACGTGGGGCTTGATCCCAGGACCCTGAGATTATGACCCGAGCCGAAACCAAGAGTAGGATGCCCAACCGCCTGGGCCACCCAGGCGCCCCACTACCTTCTATTTAAAGACTAGCTTTCCTTAAAGGGTTTGACGTATTTTGCATTTCTTATTTATTATGACATGCCCTCTGAAAAGTGTCTGTATTATCCACTCTTCACTGAAGGAGTCGGGAACCCTGATAATGAGCTTGGGGTAAGTTAAAGATGGCTGCACACTCTTTGCCATTCCTCCCATCTAGAGGTGGGCTCTTGACTCTGGGCTGGTGCTGGGCCTTGTTTGGACCAATAGTATGTGGCAGAAGTGATGCTATATGACTCAAACCTGGGCCTTAAGACATTGGCAATTTCTGCTTTTGTGTGCTTGGAACTCTCCTTCTTGGAATCCACCAGCCATGTAAGAGTCCAACTAGCCTGCCAGAGGACAGGCTGCACGGAGAGGGGCCTGAAGCTATGTTTGAGGTCTCAGCCCCAACCCCCACCATCTTGGGATGCTTTAAGCCACTAAATTTTGGGGTGGTGTGCTATTTAGCAATAAATAGCTGAAAATTAAGTTGTAGTTAAGCCATAAACAAATTTTAGCTTTCACTCATGATTTCCTCAACCAGAACTTAACACAGAGTGGTGTGGTCACTCATACCCATATCCTGTGTACATAAAACCAGAAGGGGGTGGGGTTGGTCAATGACTATGTCAGGCTGGGTAGTGTCCATTGAAGGTGGACCATTTCATAGAGTCTTTAAAATGGCTCCTTTGGCTCCTTCCTACTACACTGGGAGACTGCAGCAAGCATCAGATACCAGACACCCACCTTCAGTTCCCAGTTCATTGGCAAACCCCCAATTGCTTGCTGAAAGCGAGTGAACTATGATTCTGAAGCTAAAGGGGAGGTGGGGGACGAGGAACCCATCAAGTGACTTGAATTAGCAGGAGACACACAAAAGCTCTTTTGTCACCCAGTAATGAGTCTGGGAGCACTTACCTGAAGACATTAGCAGGACAGCCTGAAGGAGAGCTACTTCAGTGTCATCCAAGTTGAAAGAAGACAGTGACATGCCCAGGTCAAAAATGGCGTCTGACACCACCCCAAGACCCCCATTCTTCAGCTGTCCCCGTGTCACTGCCATTTCCCCATTCAAGGTTAAAGTCTCACTTTCTGGGTCATAGCGCACTGCAGCGCGAAGGGACATGATCTCCATGCAGCAGCCTTTGAGGAGGATTATCTGGTCTTCACATGGCAGCTGAAAAAAACCAGCTCACATCAGCAAGAACAAGAGCACAGATATCAGTGAGGAATAACATGCAGTATCTTAATAGCAACAGGGACCACATCCTGCGATCAACATGGTCCTACACTCTTTGAGCCTATGGCTTTTCCCTTCCGACTTGGCTGCAGACTTTCAACAACCATTTTTCATACTCCAAGTTGGTCACCAATTTTAATGTCAGTACTTTGCCTTTCTTTTATGATGGGTATAGATCTCCAACTGGGATTGCAATCCTGTGTGAGATTGCACTAATAATCCCTTACTCTGGGGGTTTGTATCGTAACACCAACTAATCACTGCTTGAGAACACGGTTTATGTTAAGCTTACCTACATTTCTCATAGTTCTACTAGTCAACAGTTGGCAACTCTGCTTCTATTTGTTTTTTGAAGCAAGTTTGCTCCTTGGGTCTCTCAAAAGGCACAGAAGGAGAAGGTTGCTTATAGAGGCATGTTGTCCCGAGGCCCAGAGATGTAAAAGCTTTGCCTAAGGTCACCCAGTGAGTTAGAGGCAGAGGTGAGACTAGAATTCAGACCTCCTGGCTCTTAGGGTTATGTTCTCAGTACCTCAGGCACCAGAATTACTCCACACACTGGATTTCTCTGCCAGTACTGTAATCTTGTTTTAAATATATTTGGTTGCCTTGTTAATTAGGATTTGTGATAATGTGATAACATTTATAATAAACTTTAAAAAAAGCAACTTTGTTAGCAAAATAACAAAAAATCAGAGTTTTACTTTCTGGTGGGAGAGAATGTTTAATTAAAAGCCATTATCAAAATAGTTGGAAAGGTCATTAGTTAATGGATATTTTTTAGCATTGGGCATCGTGCTAAGATTTATGTCTGTCATCTGACTTAATCTTCACAGCAGTACGGTGAAGTAAATATTCGAATTCCAATTTCATTTACAGAAGTGGAAATCCAGGCACTGAGAGGTTGAGTAACATGCTAAGGGCTCACATGAGGGTTTTGTGAGTGAGGCTAGGATTTGAAGCTACATCTTTCAGAATCCAATGCAAAGAGAAGAGAACACACGCTTTTTAAGTACTTAGGATATGACTAAGTTTCCATAGACAACGAATACATAAATTACACATAATTGTTACCTTGTCATGAAATCAGGTACAAATTCTTTTGGGGCAGTACTCTTGGCAACACTCGACTAGTTCAATTTTGGTTGTTATGTAAAACTGAAGGTAATATTACTGAATTACACTTAAAATGCTGGGGATTACATATTTTTTGCTAACTCAACCTAGCCACCTTACCATTTAATTTCAAATTACTTAGCTTTTTCTACAGAATAAAAGTCATTTCATATTTGGTTCTGGAATATATACATAGGAATTTTCTCCTTCCACTCATTAAAGAAGAAAAATCCCTGTGATTTGCTTTAGGTTCTAATTTGTATTCCTTGACTATATCCTGGGATTTCTGGCCCAAGATCATCATAGGAAATAGGAAACCCTGAGCTTGGATAGATCTTCCACCAGTAAGATGGAGAATTGGCCCCAGTAGGTGGAGGCTGGCTTTAACGCCTACGGGGAACGGGGAAATATTTGGCCTCATCAGGGTCACCTGAGGGCTTGTTAAACACATTGCTGGTCCCACCCTCTGAGTTTCTGCATTCTCCAGGTTCCCAGGGGATGCTCCTGCCTTTGTTTCAGGGCCCCCACTCTTGAGAACCACTGGCATAGAATAGTAAAGAGAAATTACTGATCAGATCAAACCATTTATTTATTTATTTATTTATTTATTTATTTATTTATTTATTTATTTTAAAGATTTTATTTATTCATTTGAGAGAGAATGAGATAGAGAGAGCATGAGAGGGGGAGGGTCAGAGGGAGAAGCAGACTCCCTGCGGAGCAGGGAGCCCGATGCGGGACTCGATCCTGGGACTCCAGGATCATGACCTGAGCCGAAGGCAGTCGCTTAACCAACTGAGCCACCCAGGCGCCCCAGCCATTTATTTATTTATTTTTGAATCTGTCACACAGAATGCAAACTTGGGCAGGCTCTGGCTTGTAGCCAAGTCTGATTGTAGTTGAAGTAGAGGATTTCTTTTTAAAACTGATTGTTGATTGGTTCAGATAGAAATAAAAGCTGAGTAAGTATTTGTCAAGGATCACCAACAGTTTAACAACTGGATCAGATGAGATTTGTTTCAACATGTGGGTAAATGATCTTGGTCACCTGCCACAATACTTTCACTGTGAGACCATTGCAAGAAGGGCCTGACAGGCCGAGGTGCAGGGACACTCCCACAGGCTCTTCTGTCTCCTTAGGAGAATATCATTCAGGTCGATTGGCAAAGAGTGCCCTGCACTCCCGAAGTGATTCTTAATGTGTGTTTTTTGGCAGTTCTGTCAGCAGCGATTTTAGATCCTTCAAAGCCCTGGGTTTTCCACCAGCCTTGCTGGGGGGTTGGCATGGGTCTTAGCAGAAAATTACTGTGAGTACAATTTGAACAACACATGCTCCCAAATGCCTCTGGCAGGAAAGCTCTGGATCTCGAGACCACCTGGGATCTCCGGCCCACTCCAGAGGCAGCTCAGGTGCCTACACAGTTCGTTTCCCGCCTTGGGGTTCTAATGAGAGTGAGAAAGACTAAAGGTCCTCAGGGGGCCACAAACACTGGAAACATACGCATCTCTGCTGTAAAAGTAGCCCCCCCCCTTTTTTTTTGTAATTTGGAGACTACACAAATCAGGGTTGAAAGAGAGATAGAACTGTGACTTTGAAGCAGGATTAAACTTCTGAGGGAAACGCGAAGAGAGAAGCTGGCCATAGCCCATGCTCGAAAGTTCCATGTTGACCCTTCATCCTTGCCATGGCCATAAGTGCATGGTGTGTTCGTTACTGGTGGTGGAGATAGCTTCTTTTCTTTCTTCTTTAACTGAAATATCTCTCTGTGGTTGGTTTACATGAGTTTTACATTTTCTAAGAAACATTTTTGATGGGTATTCAAAGGGGGAAGACATGACTGATAGGCTAGCTCGAGTTGTAGGGGTAGTGTCCTCAACAGAGTTTCTCTTCAGACACCAGGGATGGGGACAAGGGACACAGCTCAGAGACAGAGAGAGAGGACCAAGAAAGGTCCAGGAAGAAAAACTCAACCCAGTGAACGAAAGAGAAAGATGACACCCAGAGTCAGAGGAAACCAGCACCCTTGGCACAGCTGTGAGAGTATGCACCCTTCTTGAGAGCAATTTGGCAACACATCTCAGAAGCCTTAAAAGGTGTGTATACCTTGGTCCTTAAATTCTACTTTTATGATTTGCCCTTAAGAAGTAGTGTTGTGAGCAGGGCATAGGCACCAGGATGCTCACTGTACGGTTTATATTAGTGAAAAATGGGAAATGAACTGAAGGTCTAGTCAAAGCAGTTAACCTAAATTATGTAGATTTATTCTTTAGAATAGTATGTGGTCACTAAAACTTATTTGTGAAAGAACCTTTAAATGATGTGTGTTCCACTGTTGAGGGTAAAAAGTCTGGTACAACAGGGTGCTGGTAATGTTTCTTTACCTCAGTGTTTATTACATGGGTGTGTGGAGTATGTGAAAATTCATTGAGCTGCACCTTTATGATATGTGCCTTTTACTCTTTAATAAAAAGTTTAAAAAGTAGTTTCATAAGCAGGATGTACATTATGGTATAAATTATATTAACATGTTTCATATTTCATGTAAGTGTGTGTACATGTATATATACATATATGTAAACACACATAATTGAAAAAGACTAAAATAGGCTCCAAAATGTCAGTAACTTATCTTTAGGTGGTGTTACCATGAATCAATATCTCGAATATGTTATTTTTAAAAATTTTTTAAAAGATTTTGTTTATTTGAGAGAGAGAGTGTGAGCGAGCATGAGCTGGGGGAGGGGCAGAGGGAGAGGGAGAAGCAGGCTCCTCGCTGAGCAGGGAGCCCGATGTGGGGCTCTGATTCCAGGACCCTGGGATCATGACCTGAGCTGAAGGCAGACCCAACCAACTGAGCCACCCTTGAATATATTATTTTAAATAACCTTCCAAACTTTAAGAAATGATAGTTAAAAAAGATGGTCAGAGACATGGGAAGCTCCACACCAAATACAGCTATGTCAAAATTCCTTCTCCAGGACTCACCAGCTCCTCTGGGGGTGGGGTACGAGTAGCTCGTACGAGTGAGGTACTGCAGGGCTGCCAGCCAGCACATCAGGTACCCTGGCCCCCACCACAGTGAAGCGGGGGACAAGATCGAGGCACACTCTCTCAGCTAGGTCTGGGGGTCAGACACCTGCATCCTGAAGCCCACTGCTCTGTCCTTCTGGATATGGCTTTTGTGGAGGCTCAAAACAGACAATGAGAAGTGTCCCCAACAGTGTCTGGGGTCTCTCAGAATCCAACTGGGCTCCCATTATTGCAAACCCAAAGACACAAATGAGCTGGAAGCCAAGGTCCGATGGAATCATTCCAGGTGAGGAGAGGGCTTCTTTCTAGGTGAGGCTAGATTTGCTTCTCACTCGGGTAGCTGACATAGGAGGCTCACAGCAGCCCGTGGACCTGTGTATGTGATATCTTTCCGATATCTTGGAGGTGGGAGGAGCAGTAGATTGGCACCTGATGGCTTTTCAAAGGGCAAAATTCTCCACTTGATTCAAAAAAGGAAGGTTAGAGGCAGGATGGTAATGTAATAGATAAAACAGAAGCCTTAACAGCTGGAATTTATGGATAAACTTAGGCCCCAGGCACTATCCAAGCACTTGACATATATGATCCCATTTAAACCTTACAATAGCTCTAAGAGGTAAATACTATTATGATTTCCATTTTAAAGATGAAATAACCAAGATTTGAAGACACCAAATAACTTATGTAGGATTCCTGCCCATCCGGCTGACTGCAGAGCCCATGCTTCCAGGCACCACATAGTAGGACTGCTAAGTTAGGAAAGAGGGATGAGGTGTCCCAAAGGGAAAGCCTATGAGCTCAGGTGGGTGAACTCTTCAGGGTGCCATGAAGACGGGGCAAGAAAGTGTGACCTTGTAGGAAAAGAGAGGAGAGTTACAAAGTTAAGATCCTTGCTCTGTGAGGGGGATCCTTATTTTTGAGGAGGAAACAACCACACAACTGTTTTGCTAGGATATGTAATGGAAAGCATATTGACTTAGACTCAAGCCATGGCCCCGTGTTTGGATAAATTAACTTAATCTCTTCGATCTTAGTTTTCCCCATCTATAAAATGGGCTTAATTAAAGCTATCCTGCAAATCTATTATAAGGATTGGATTTAATGTGGGCAGAGTTGAGCATGGTAACTGGGACACCGTAAGTGCCAAATGAACAGAAGTTATTGCTGTCATATTTCCCTACGCCTGGAGCCAGTGGATAGATAGGATCTTCAGCCTCATGTGGATGAGCTAATGAATGACTGAATAGAGAAGGTAGGGGAATAAGAGTGAAACAGTGCGTTTTCATTTTGTACTGACATTGCTTTCATATGACGAAATCCCTACTAATTAATATTAAATTATAAATAATACTCCGTATTCCTGGAAATTGATGGAACTATAATGAAAAATAACGCAGAAGGAAAAACAGTGTCCTCACCTCACAAAACATAGGCAACTTTTTGGCAAAATCCACCACTCTGGTAATTGCTGGTGTGATGATTTTTGTAAAATGGCTAAAGGCTTCCAAGTCAACCTTTCCACCTTCTGGGGCATTTACTATTGGTGCTTGTCCAATATCTTCTGGCTAAGGAGGAGAAACAAGAAAGATTTAAATGCAGAACCTAAAGGGATCTTTATTTATCATCGTTCTCATGTGGCAGAAAATCTCTTCTGAATTGACACGCTATACAATTTCCGGTTTTCACTTGGCTCATTAACAAACTATGCAGTTTTCACGTAGTTTAGTTTTCTGAGCAAAGATATGTGTCTTGGCTATTGCTTTAATAACCCCTGGTGATAGTGTTCCACAGAATTGTTGCTGCAGAATTAAAGAAAGGGAAAGCAAGTGAGAGAAAGAGGGAGGCAGAGAGAAACAACAGGAATTTGGGTCCTGCTTCCGAATGCACAAAGGATGCCAGGTGACATATGTGCTAGGGGCTCTGGGGTGGCATTTTCAGGGCCCTGCACTTTCTGGCATGTGTGGCCTGTGATGGAGGAGTGTGATGGGGACGCTCTGGGGGGGAGGGAGAAGAGGCAAACTGAAGACAAAGCACCAGCTGACAACCCCCTAACCACCCCCCACCTCCTGGACTCCTGGGTGGGATATGTGTGACATTCCTCCAGAAAACTCCCGACTGTCTTTTTTTTTTTAAGTTTTTATTTATTTATTTTATTATGTTCAATTAGCTGACATACAATACATCATCAGTTTTTGATGTAGTGTCCGACTGTCTCAATGTTAATGCTTTGCTAGAGGGAAGAACAACCTGAGCTTGACAATAGCAAGGCCTCCAGTATTCTGAGAGTCTTCTTCAGCATATAAAAGTCCTTTTGGACATCTCCCTTTTTCCTTACCTCTCCCAACTCCCAAGTATATAATCAGCCATTCCTCACAACCCCAGTGCAGCAGTTCTTTCTACCCTTGGGTCCTGTCCCTGTGCTTTAATAAAATCACCTTTTTGCACCAAAGACTTCAGCTCTGGACCTCACCAACAGGACCTGAAGAGGTCTACTACATCATTGGCAAGTAGCACCCTATGGATTCATTCTTGCTTTTGATCCAGCTGCTGGGGCTCAAAGTTCCTGTCTGCCCTATAGATTCTAGTTGGAGGAGGTCTCGGAGGGCTGAAGGGGAAGACCTCTAGGTTGCCTGTAGGAACTGAGTTGTGTAAACTTGGCAAGCTTTCGGGCAGACAGTATTAATTACTAGTATTCAGTGTCCCCGGGGGCACTTCTCTGCCCTTGACTTGCCCAAGAACAAAAGCCATAGCCTTGCTACTCAAAGGGTGGTGTAGCAGCTTGGGTGTCATCTGGGGACTTGTTAGAAAAGCAGAATCTCAGCCCCTCCCCAGATCTAATGGTGCAGAACCAGCATTTTAACAAGTCCCCCAGGTGCTTGTGCTCACGTTAGCCTCCCGGATGTCCACTGGTATTCTCCAGCTCCTTAGCTGAGGGCTCCAAGACCATCACGGTCTCTCACGTATCTCCTATCGTCACCTGTGTTACCGGCCAGGGACAATCCTCTCTGTTGCCCTTTCTTGTTGTTGTGATAATTATAACTACGATTTATCTGTGGCCTGCAGGTGAGCCAGCCCCTTTGAGGAAGCACATGATCTCAAGTAGTTCTCACACAATCCTGATTGGCAGATGAGCAAACAAAGGGCTCAAGGAGGTTAAGAACAATCCCCTGAGGCCAGGACTTGGATATTGGTCACCCAGCCTCTACACAGCAATCTGCCAGGAACCCCACATCTACCCCCTACTTCAAGGCTTTTACAACCTATACACTTTTTTTTTTTTTTAAAGATTTATTTGAGAGAGGGAGCACTCATGTGCAGCCCCGACATGGGGCTCAATCCCACGACCCTGGGATCGTGACCTGAGCCAAAATGAAGATTCAGATGTTTAACTGACTGAGCTACCCAGGTGCCCCACAACCTGTACCCTTTTGACACCAGGGGGCAGAATTCTACTCCTATTATTTCCCTTACCGGCCTCTCCCACTGCCTTGCTGGAAGTTGTGAAGGTGATCAAAGGGATCAGAGACTCAGGCCTGTCCCATGGCCTAGAGCACAGTGAACCGACCATAACTGCACACCCAGGGTTGGGAGATGCAGGACGGTAGGCAGAGATGGGCTGGAGGATCTGGCACCGAGAACTAGTCAAGCAAAGCTGAATCCCTCACTTGCAGAGTTGTGAGGGCGCTGCTTTTGACAAGACTGTGGCCTCCCTACAGCCATGGTCCTCAAACTTGCATCAGAATCACCTGATGGGTGCCCATGTCCAGAGCTTCTGATGCAGTAGGTCAGGCACAGAGCCTGGGAATCTGCACTTCCCAGGGCATGCTGATGCTGCTGGTCTGGGATGACACTTTGAGAACCACTGGCCTGGCAGTAACCACATCCAGCTCAGAGTAATCCAGTTACCATTTTCTTCCCACACCTCCCCAATTATTGCTCACGTCTAATTTTTAGCACAACGAAAAGCACAGGATGATTCTTTTACTGACTTGTTACTAGGGCACTGGGGTCAATAGGAGCAGCCCAGGCCCTCTCCAAAGGCGTGGTAGGAGCTGTGGTTACAGCCCAGGGGAGGATTTTAATATATATTACATAACAAACTGGTAGCATTGACCTTTTTTGGGTTATCCAGTAGGTTCTTCTGTTTTTTATTTTATTTTATTTCATTGTTTGCTTTGTGGGCAGCAAGTGAATGGGAAAGGAACCTAGTCTGTCATGTTACCATAGTCAGTGACGATGTTTTGGGGCAACTGTTGGCATGGGAAGCCCGTGGGAGGCTACTGCTCTGCTGGCTTTCTGGATGCAGACAGAATTGACGGAATAATCACACATACAATTTCCTTCTCTCTTTTCTCTCTCGCTGACTGTCTTTCTCACACAGCCTGAGTGGAGGGAAAAGGTCAGGTCCTCCTTTGGGCACTGCTGCTCCTGGCATTCTTCACCTCCTTGCTGGTCTTTATAATTCCTCCCACCCCAGAAATGAGGCTCATCTCACCTGCCTTGCTTATTTTACAACTCTGTTATGAAAATCAACTGATAAAAGGAACATGGTCATACAATAAAAAAGAAAAGAAGTTTTACACACACACACACACATAGGGTGAGCTTTTTTAGAAATAAAAAATAACAATATTTTAATGTTTTTATAGTTTGGCCAAATGTCTTGTCATTGAACACTGATAGATCTAAACTGATTGTATTGAATGGTAATCAGTGTCCTTTGAAATGTTGCTAAGTTAATACCGATTTTAAAAATTTCCATTTAATCTGTGGGCTCGTGGAGCATTTGAATCGCACATCTAAGGGTTTGAAAAAAGGACGGGAATTATACAAGGAAATATGGTAATTTTAATTAAAATTAAACTTCCAAATGTAACCACCTCACAAGATTTTCTGTTGAAAAATAAGTATCAGGGTAGAAAAAAAAATGTACTTTTAAGGTTTTGGGTATTTAATGGAAAATACAATTGCTAGAAGTAAAATCATATACAAAGTAAAAGCTTTTTATTATATCAAGCTTTATTCCCATAATGGATCTTGGATACCAGAAAAAAACAGATAGATAGATAGAGTCTATGAATTGACCTAACACATGAGGTATGAGAAATTAAGGTTGAGCACTGCAACCTTGTCTGTGACTTCCCTAGGGATTTTTCACATCATTTGCTGCAATATTTGGAAGATGATAGAAATAAGAGTACAAATAGTTGGCATCAGGTGAATCTATTAGATACATAAGTACAGCTAATAGCCTTGTAATACACAACATGAGATACATTTGCTCTCACACACACACACATACACCCACCCACCCCCACACACGTGAGCATGCGCTGAGATCAAGCTCAGGTACTGATGAGAAGTCACCAGGGTAGACTGTGGACAAAGCCTGGTTTTTGCCTCTGGCTCAAACTGCCTTAGCTTTCTCACTGGGGTGCTTCCAGTTCTCATTCTGACTTTCTTCTTCCTTGGCTGCCCTAACGGGCCTCCTGAGCCTGCTCAGCCTACCTCTTCATGTCTCCTCCCCAACTTGCTTTGCACTTTTGCAGTTTGGAGCTGCCTTTTCTCTGGACTTCTGCTTTCTCTCAAGTCTCTGCTTCCATCTTATCTTTGCCAATTCCAAATCCTACCCCAATCAAGTTCTGTTTTCTCCTTGAAGTCTTCCCAGATGACCTGTGTGAAATGATGCCTATCTCACTGGAACACAGATGGTGGCCCACGTACATCACTCATAGGGCATTTAGGCATTTATTACTGTCATTTTTTATTGCAGTTATGTAGGTACATAGTAAGATATGAACTTCTTGGGTGGGGGGCATAAACTTTAAGTTTCGTTGTCTACTGTGTGGAAAACATTGGGCTAAAAGGTGGAGGACAGAATGCTTGTTGGTTGATTGAGTGAATAAATGTATGTTTATACATGTTCAACCAATATTTATTGAGCAACTACTATGGGGCCAGGCCTGGTTCTAGATGCTGAGGTTACATCAATGAACAATGTACCCTCAAGGAATTTTCACTGTATTGAGGGAAGACAGACAAAAAATAAAAAGAATACTCTCACAGAAGAATTTCTATTTGTGATTAGACTGTGGGGGTCAGATGATAGTATGTGGGGGTCAGAAAGAGGCTGGGCAGCCTAAGATTCTTTGAGAAGTGATGTGTGAGCTTTAGCTGGAAGAATGTCAAGAAGGCAGCCCTCCAGAGAACCAGAGGAAGAGCATTTAAGGCAAAGGGAAAAGCCAGTGCCAAGTCCCGAGAAAGGAGTTGTTGGGTTGCTATGCGGAATAGGGATGTGGGGAGCCAGAGGAAGAGATGGGCCAGCAGCACTAGCTGGGCAGGACATGAAGTGGTCTGGACCATGGGGCGGCAGTAGAGATGGAGAGAAGTGGAAGAACTCAAACCTTTCTTGGGAGCCGGACCCAGGGCTTTCTGACTGACTGGATGTGGGATGCAGGACAATAAAGAATCCAGGATGTCTCCTTGGGGGCAGTGGAGGGGGTGGGGGGGCACAAAGGGAGAGATTCAGGGGTGTGTGCGGGGGTGGGCTTCTACTAGCTCAGTCGTGTCACTAGCTGCTGATACGCAAATGGAGACTAGGTGCCTTTCTGCTTTGACTGTTCATCAGTATTATTCAAGGTGAGTAGCAGATGCTGCCCGTTGGCCTCTTTGCAGCGGCTGGCTCAGAGCTGAGGGCTTCTTGGCTTGGACCTGCAGCTCTCTGGCACATGCAGAGTGGGATGGGGCCAGACAGGACTCTGCCCTTCCTTTGTGAGATCATAGGGTATTTTCCTGCACCTTTGTAAGGGGGGGCAGGAAAGCCCAGACCAATGGTGGTTAAAGGTCCCTGGGCTTTGGCATCTTACTACAGGCTCTCCCTTTTCCTGGGATGAGCAGGGATGGACGTGAGGATGGGGGTTGTAGGGATAATGCACATAGGAACCACTTGTGTGGTTGTTAATGATGTGCTGAGCACTTATGTCTACAACTTTTATACCTTGTTGTGTAAAGTCATCCGAGCCTTAGAGAGGCGAAGGAACTTGCCCAAAGTCACATAACTAAAAAGCAACAACAACAGCAACAAATATATATATATATGTAAAAAAAAAGAAAAAAGCAACAGAGACAAGCATTGAACTCAGGCTGTCTGAATCTCCATGCACATGACTATATGACCCTGCCTTCTTCTGATGCAGTTATAATTTTGGGCGATAGAAGTCTTCCTGACTTGATTGCTTTTGCCTTATGACCAAATCACCCATCCTGCCTGGCCCTTCTGCTTATGCCCCTTTTCTGAGGCTTTCCCAACAGAGCATAGGTGAAATCAGACAGCAGCTCTGCCGGGGAAAAGTAGGGCAGGCCAGCCCTGGTTCTGATGGTCACATTTTATACTTGCATGGAAAATCCATCCAAAGCTGTACCTTTGCATGTGAACGAAGGGAGAAGAATAAAAACACCATGTCAACAGACAGTATGGTTGCTGCTATGGGGTTTACTCCAAGCCGAGTGTCTTCCTGCCCCTGGGAGGGGTAGAAGTGAATTACCCATGGTGGAAACACGGCTTCTCTTGTTTGGCTCAGATGGCCCTTGTTCTCTTCTCTGTGCACTTCTCTGTTTCATCATTGCTGTCACCACACCCGAAGGGTGGTTACATTGGGCACTTCTGTGCCATCAGGAATTTGGGCGGATTGGAGAAAACTAGAAAATTATTATTTAAATGCTTTTGGAAGTAGTTTTAAAGAGTGGCTTTGGAATTATTATGAAAATCTACATGGCTTTTTAAAAAGTTTATTTGCCAATGACTCTCATTTCTACAGACACAAATATAGATTTGAAACCCAGGTCAAACCACCAGTCTCTATTTCTGACTTGAGTCCTGGTGTTAGGGTGAAAATGAAGAATCTTCTTTTGGGAGAGTAAGTTATTTTCCTGTTCCAGATAGATGAATACTTCCAGTTTCTATGACAACATATAATTTTTAGTCCCTTCTGATATATTACTATACTATTATTATATTTTTAAAGATTTTTATTTATTTATTTGAGGAAAAGAGGGAGAGATTCAGAAGAGAGCATGAGCAGAGGGGAGGGGCAGAGAGGAGCGGCAGAGGGAGAGGGAGAAGCAGGCTCCCCGCTGAGCAGGGAGCCCAACACGGGACTCAATCCCAGGACCCTGGGATTATGACCTGAGCCGAAGGCAGACGCTTAACCGAAGGCAGACGCTTAACCGACTGAGCCACCCAGGTGCCCCTATTACTATACTATTATTAACATAATAGGTCTCTTCAAATTCTTTTTCAGAAGAAGATGGGCCATCATCACATACAAATAAATGAAATAATATGTGTAGCAGTGTTATAAGCCAAATAGAGGCAGCCACATGGGAGACACAAATCCTAATGTGTAGAAGCCTATTCAGACATGGATATCATTTAGCAAAGCTGCCTTTGATGAAGGATTCTTAATGTCCTTGCAGGAATAATTCACCACTTAGTGAAATTTTTATCCTGAGCATACATACGCAATCGGAGTGACCCTTCTGCAAGGGGGATGTGTAAATATGTAAACTGGCTGAGACAGAGGGCTTAACTGTACTGTCTCTGAGGATGGGCCAGTGGAACTGTACATTCTGTTTCACAAATATTTATTGAGTTCTGTTCTGGTTATCTACGCTGTGTAACAAACTACCCTAAAACTTAGTAGCTTAAAACAACAGATTTTTACTGTTGCTTAGAGTTGATGGGCTCAGCTGGGTGGTTCTCATTGGGGTCCCTCATACAGTTGTCCTCAAATGGCAGCAGAGGCTGGTGTCATCTGTAGGCTTCTTTACCCACATTTCTGATGTCTGGTCTGGCACCAGATTCAGCCTTAAAAGTCAGTCTGCTAAAAATCTGTTGCTTAAAGTAATCACACACCCAGCCCATGTTCAGTGAGAGAGAGAGGAATAGACTTCACCTCTCCATGGGAGAAAATGAGCTGCATCTACAGGGAAGAAAGGATCTCAAGGCAGCCATCTTTGACAAGAGCTACCACAAGTTTCAACCACACATGTGATCGACAATGAAGTGACAATACTGAATGGACATGGTCCTTCCATTGAGGAGATGCTGGGGTGATCCCAGTCATAGAAGGGGATTGGCTGATAGAAATGAAGCTCATTGTAGACACAGATGGGACTGTGACCCCAGCACCACTCTTAAGAAAAAATGGCCTGGAGAAGCAGTTCTTTGTATTTGGACCAAGAGGAACAATTTCTTGAACAGACCAAGGATCTACAAAATATACATTTCACATTGGCTCCACTGAGGAGGGGAGACAGGTGGATAAAACAGTTGCTCTGTAAATGTCAGCTTCCCAAAGAAAACTCTAGTTCCTGGATAACCTCATGGCCCTGACAAAAAAACTAATGGCAAATCAACCTGTGCTATACATTCTTTGGTTCTTTCTGTAGATGATCAGACTGATGAAAAGCATTAGGAGCCTTTGAGCTAAAGGTGCAGACCTGGTTTTAATCATTAGCAATAGTGTCATCTTTGCTAAAGAGACCACAAGGCATAAAGAGATCTGACTGGATTTTACCATATAGAATTTGTTTCTTAGCTTTCAGACACAGCTCATGTCACCTCCCCAGGGAGACCTTTCTGACCACCCTGTCAGAGAAGGGAAGTCTCTCTCCACTTCCAATTGTTTATCACTCTGTCCCATCATGATGTTTGTTTTCCTCACTGCACATACCATCACCTGTATTCATCTTGTTTGTTTAATCCTTACTGTTTTTCTCCCTCCACCAGAATAGAGCTGACTTATTCACTTCCTAGCATACAGTAGCTGCTCAATAAATGTTTTTTTTTTTTTTTTTTGAACAAAAGAACAAAGCTTTAGAGTCTGGAAGGAAGCACCCTTGTGACCACTGAAATGGTTTTAGTTAGACTAGTATTCATTCTCTTTTTGGAGTAGAGAAAACTGAAGTGTAAAGTTCCTTAGAAGTCCAGATGTGCCCCAAATCTTCCACTTTATTTGAAATTCAGCTCGGTCACTACTCTGAAATCAGGCCTGGAAGTGGAAAGGTCAGTTTCTGAGATGGTCAAACACCAGCTGGTGGTGGCGGGGTGGGATAGTCCATCTGGACTTCTAAGCTTGGCTGCCACTTTCTAGTAGTGTGAACTTGGGTGAACTAAATAAGGCCTTTGGTTTGGTTTGCATATCTGTAAAATGGGGATAGTAATTCCAGCCTAACCCAAAGCATTGTGAGGTCCAAAGAAGAAATGAATGGGAAGGACTTTCACAGTTGTTAGTTTTTATAAAAACATCAAACATTGAACTTCCAAGGGCCCACAAAAGCCTGTTTTCTCTATATATCCCCACCCCCAAACACCCTCCCTACTCCCCATTCCCCTAGTCTTCCTGGACTCAAGTTCATTTATTTTAAGCTCAACATTTTGACTTCTATTGACATAAAAATACATTTGAGATATGGGCTACTTCATCCTAGGGATTGTTCTAAAGGGGATATCTTGGGGTGAGTTTAGAGGACTAACTATATAAATGGGCATCTGGGAGAAGAAATGGGTGTAAAAGGGGAAAGCTGACAGGTAAAGAATGTTACTGATCAGTTGATTTAAGGCTGGCCTTATTAATAGCAAAAGCAAACAGATTATGTGGCCTAAAAGCTACTTAAAATTTAGTGACTCACAAGCAACAATTGAGAGGAATGACCTTTGTTCTTAGACAGCCCTGGATTCAAATCCTGACTCTGCAAGTCACTTGACTTCTTGGGAATGCAGTTTCCCTATCAGTAAAATGGGGGCAGTCACACCAGCATCCCACCAGGGTGATGAGGGCTGAGTGAGCTGAAGGAGAAAATGTGGAGCATGCAGCTGATATTTAGCTGTGCCAGGGAGCCTCACCAGGAATTTTCGTTTCTGCTTCCAGTGGCTGCCTTGGGCATTGGTGGCCACATGGGCTTCAGTGACAGTTTTGATGAGCTCCCACTCCTCGTCCGTGGGCTCTGGCTTGTGCCCGATGGATTTCTGCAGCTCTTCCCGCCGTCTCTTCTCCCGGTTCTCCTCAATCAGCTTCCTCTTTGCCAGCCTCTTGCTGTCATCCAGTACCACTGGGAGAAGAGGAAAGATGAGACAAAACACGCGGACACTCGCAGACATGTGGCGGACTGCGCTTACACCCCAGACCACCTATGCGCAGATGGCTGAGCACGTCCTGCAGGGTGGGTCACACTGGGGTATTTTCTCCCCTCGGCAGCAAACTGCCATTGACTAGCTATGGTCCGATATGAGACTTAGTGCCAAACTCCCAATGTCTGGTCAGCTTTTCAAAACAAAACTCTGGGCGAAGCTGGACAATGGGCGTCCCAACCCCACAGAAGGTGACTCTAAAGAAGAAGGAAGCAGAGGGAGGTAAAATCTGTCCTACCCATGGGTTCCCAGATGAGTCTGTACTCAGTCAATATGAGATTATAGCCAATCATCTGGATTCACTCTTAGAATCTCTGTTCCTCCTCTCTTGCCCTCAAATGGCTCTTAGTAAAACGAACTTCAAATTAAAGTTCTGGAGTGGTAAACAGGAGGCTAATGATCTCTTCCTCAGATAAAAAGGACCCCAACTCTTTATTAGTTCCCTCAAGGGTTCATTGGAATGAGGCTCGGTCTATCTCAGGCTGCCCAGGTACTTACTTTGCTCTAGTCTATACCTGGTCTACCCTCAATGGTGGTTAAAGAGCCCAGGCTTTGGAATCTAGAAAGAGCTGGGTTTGAATCCTGACACTACCACATTCTAGCTGTGTGACCTCTGGCAAGTTGCTTAGGCTCTTTGAGCTTTCATATCTTCCTGTATAAAACGAGATTGACAATCCCACCTCACATGGTATTCAATGTGCTAACGTACTACAAGTGGTCAGTACATAGAGCCATGACTTTTACCACTTATGCAAAAGGGACATAAGAAGGGCAGATAACAAGAAACCTCTACTTCTGGGTTATTTTCCAAAACAAAACCATTTTACCAGACTCTTAGTAACCATCAATGGAATGGAAAGCCTCAGGTTTTATGCTACTGAGTCATAGTATTTTAGAACTGGAAAGAACCTTCGGTATTATCTAGCCCAACTCCCTCCTTTCACAGAGGAGGAAGTTGATCCAGAGAGATCATGACTTGCCTAAAAGTCACACAGCAAGTTCATGGCAGAGCCAAGGCAAGACCCAGGACTCCTGATTCCAGTTCTACAACATCATTGTCCTAGGGCCATTTCTTGATGAAGGTGTGACCTGGTAGGAAAAGAAAAAAAGCAAACATAGCAGGAGGAAGAGAACCAAAAGTACTCAGCTAATCCACAAACAGAATAATGAAACCCCAGGTCATCCAGGTTGGATTGGATCATCCAAATCCCGTGAATGATGGCAAATGTGGGAAATGTGAATGAGCCTTGTTAGGTCACTTTGGTTCCCTTATTAAAGGGGGGATGAGGAGTGGACTCTACTCATAGCCCCGTTTCCCAAATGCTTCCTCTATGCCAGGGATTGTGGCATTTGACATGCATTATCTAATTTAATCCTGAAAACAACTTGCAAGATAGGCGATGATTTCACCGAAGGGAAGCCCAAGGTTAGGTCTGATGGTCACACAGCTAGTAAGTGGCAGATACGGGACTCCAACAGTTTTTCTGATTATAAAGCCTGAGCTCTTATAATACCTTGCAGGGTGCATTCAAAATTAATTTCCACCCAGGCCAGATTAACGCTGAGCTTTTTTAACTTTATAAGCATTCCTATTTTTAACTTCTCAATCAAACAATGAAATGGACACAATAGTAACAGTCCCTTAGGGTGACACATCTAAATATTCGGTTCTAGTCAATCATTTTCACATATTCTTATCAGGCATATTGTTGGCAATGGCTAAAAGTCTTTAAAAGATGAAGACAACACACTCAGCCAGAAGTGGGGATTAACCCAGGATTTCCAGCCTAAAGCCCTCAAACAACCCTCCTCCTTTTTAAAGATTCCCCATTCTGTCTACTTTATTGGGCAAAGCAGGACATTTCACAGACTTTTTGTTGTTGTTGTTCTAGCTCAGAGTACTCTGTTTCTCACATAAATGTGAGCTGTGATTATTTCCTCTTTCCTGAGGAAAATCCTCATTACATTCTTTCCTTTCCTTTTTAAACTAAAAGTTGGAAATTTTCATTGAGGTGCAAAACACTTATGCCAATAGAAACCATTAAGCCTGATGCCTGGCAAAACGGAGGTCACACATTCTGAATGACACAATTCTTACTTTATTATTAGATTAATTAAAGTGACTGGTGTAAATCCCTTGCACGGTGCGGGAAGAAGAGACTCCAGTGGCTAATCTCACCACCATATGCTGTGGCACTTTGAAAACTGGGTAGGAGGACTGGAGCTTAGAATGTTTTTATGGGCTAAAAATATAACAAACAACCAACGGCAGGATGACTCATGCAATAGCACTCGACTTCACATTCTTCAAAAATTACTGAACACGATGTTTCCTGCCAGTGCCCCATCTCCAAAAATGTCCACAAAATAAATTCCTGTCTCTGCTTTTGAAAAATATCAGGACTAGTCCATGAGGCTCTCACCACATGAATGTCGTACATAAAACTATGCCTCATCAAGGGGACTGGACATGACCGCTCATTTGTAATCTGTTGTGAACAGAGTATTGCTAACAGTCCTGCAAATGTGATAGGGATAATTTAATCACTCCCCCTCACGTGTAGTCTGGATACTTTGAGAGTTAGAAGTTGATAGGGAAGGGGTAGGATGGAAACCACCCAGCAGTAGCTGGGACTGAGGGGTCTGTGGGAGTGCTAGGGATCTTCTCTCTATCCACATGGGTTTCTGCTTTCTTTTCTGCCTGGTTGATCTCCTTAAATCAAATCTTTCCCCAATGAACACTCCTTGAATATGAAACAAAGGAAGAAGATTACTTACAATCTGTTGCCATGCCAACATAGATGCATTTTTTAAAGCGACATTCCTGGCACTGATTTCTCGTAACTTTGTCTATGACACATTTTCCTTCATATTTACAGGAATAGGATGGATGGAGATTTTTCTGAATGGTTCTTCTAAAGAAACCCTACATGGGAAAGAAAGACCCAAGACAGCAGTTTCATATTTTCTAGAAATAAATGACTCCAGAATTTTGTGTCCATATAACTGTGATGGATTGTTTTGGACCTTACCTGGGTATGGACCTGTAGCTCCTACCTATTCACATATAGGGCAATTAGCCCAAACTGAATCTAAAGAATTCTAAATCTGAGCTGAAGGAAATGTCTAGGCCTACACACAGAGTCAGTATCTTTTTGGCATTTAGTAAGGAAAAGAGGTTAGTGGGAAAATCTAGTGTTCATTTTTATTTTTTCTAAACACTGAGTAATATAAATAAATTACATTATTTCATTTCATAGAGGGCCATAATTGTGTTGTTAAGTTAAGCTGTGAAGAACCTTGCTACACTTTGTACTGGAGAATAAAGGAGCTGGATACTTGTGATACTCTATTAATTAATAATTCAATTATTTAGTAATTAAACAGCCTTTAGAGATTTAGTTTAGTTCTTGTTTTTAACTCTTGAAATGCCCATGGCCAGCTCAGATAACCCTTGAAACAACAGTACTTGGGGAGTAGAAAATTCAAGACTCTCCACCCAATTTTTCTCAGTGCTCACGGCATTGGGGTTTTTCCTTTCATAGTACTCTTCCTCTCCAGTGTTGGTAGACATACTCCCTGAAGTTCAATAGGTGTCTTCCTTTCTTAAGGCATGGGAGAGGGCCACCATAAAGGCTGCTGAGGATGCCATGTAGTCCAGGTTTAGGTGACATAAACCTTCTTGAAGGTGTGTTCTAGCAGAACCTTCCTGGACATGGTACTCCCATCTTGGCAACAGTGCTTCTGTATTGTAGCACTCATGATGGCAGAAAGCGTGCACTTTTTGTAAGGGGCACATTGCAAAGCGCTGTAGACACCTTCCATATCCTTCTGTCTCTTCTACAACCTTATGAAGTAGGTACTCTTAATATCTCCACGGTAGGTATTAAAAAACTAAGCCTCTGACAGGTTAAATCACTTGCCCCAAATCATGTGGTAAGTACACTGGGAAACTCAGCCTAGAGCTGAGGAGTCAGACTCCAAGTCTTGTTTACCTAACTGCTTATATGATATAAACTGAATCCAATTTTACTGTATTATTTAAATGTTTTAGATGAACAGATTATAAATAGCATTCCCCGCCTTTATCTTTTTTAGTAGACTAGCAAGGCAAAAACAAATGTTGAAGGATACTGTCTACTAAAGCTTAAAGGGACCTCTAACTTTGTTACATAAATAGGGACTGACATACCAGCTGGCCTAGATTAAACCCAAATTTGAATGATCCTATTTAACTTTTCTTGGCTTTGATTTTGTACATATACCACTTGCATATGCACTCAGACATAAGAGCTCTCTACCTTATAATGAAAAGGTCAAAGGTAGGATTTTATATTGGGCAAAGCAGGATAAAATAGAAAAATGACAGCCATGACTGAAACTAATGAACTTGATTGGGGACATGTGAGCAAATCCCTTATCATTTCTATTGTTCAAGGTCTAACAGGAAAACGGCCCCATTATTATTTGGGTCTTGTATCCTTAAACACTTATGCCCATTAGTTTGAATGATGTTGCTATCGTGTTATAAGATTCACTCAATCACACATGGGCAGGTCTTTGTCATGCTGGCGGTGTGTTTCCCTGGGTATTCAAGGTGGGCTCATCCTGCTACAGCGTGAATGTCAGGGCATGCACAGCACTGAAGGACAAGCTGCCCTGTGACCCTCTCTACTCTACCTCTGCCGCCCTCTCTCCAACCCACCCTTCATGGGTCATCCCTGCCGGAGAGCAAAAAAACCCTGGAGATTCCTGGCAAGAAGACATGTGTCACAGACAGGGAGGAGAGCGGCTGGGTAGCATACCTCCTTCTGGAGAAGGCAGAGTTTCCCCAGAGGTGGGAGCACCAAAGTCCAGGGCATCAGGGAGAAAGTGTGCTGCTAGGAGGATAGGAAAGTTGTTGGGGGAGACCCTTTTCTCACACATACTCTGACGCTGACTCCTGTTCTGGAAGCGGGGAGCAGACCAAAGAGTCCAACAATGCTAAGGAGAGAACGAGCTATGGTATACCAGACACTGGGGTAACATTCATTTTTCCAAAAAGGCTACTCTGTGAACCTTTACATGGAATGAATGAAATAATTTATACTTTGCTTATGTCGAGAAAGGTGTTGGGGTAGCAGGCTCTGCTATTCATAGTACCATCTTTTCTTTTCTTTTCTTTTTTTTTTTTTTAAAGATTTTATTTATTTATTTGACAGCGAGAGACACAGCAAGAGAGGGAACAAGCAGGGGGAGTGGAAGAGGGAGAAGCAGGCTCCCCACAGAGCAAGGAGCCCGATGCGGGGCTCGATCCCAGGACCCTGGGAACATGACCTGAGCCGAAGGCAGATGCTTAACAACTGAGCCACCCAGGCGCCCTAATAGTACCATCTTTTCTATGGCTTCTCCCTGATGTCTTTTCTCGGGCGCTTCATGGACCAAATCCCCTTTAAGATGTTGGCTTCCCCTAGGTTATAATAGAAGGATATTTGACACATGATGAGGGATCACTTCATTTGAGTAAATGTAAAGGTGCTAGATCCCTTAATTTTAAAAAGTGACAAAAATTAACTTTTGGAAATGAACCCAACAGAAAATATTTAATATAGTCTACCTACAAAAATCTTTTTAGAGGTGAGCTAACAAAAGACATGTCCCAGGGACTAAGTAAGGCCATATATTTCACTGATGATTTGTTGGTGAGGAGAGGTTTTTCTTTTATTAATCAACATCAGACATGTTTCTCTGCATTTTGAGAAGAACTGGATCTACTTCTTAGTGGTCTGAGACGATGCCCTGATTAGTGTGATAAGGAGCTAAGTGTCGATATTTGGGCAACTGCTATAAGCTACGAATCTTTCTTAAAAAAATAGTTTATTGTGGGAAAGTATCAACATTCTTTCTATGAAAAACTGGCTCATCAAAACAGACAAAACAGCTCCAAAAGATTTTTGCTGTCTTCAGGGCAAAAATGGGCAAAAAAGACATACACACTGCAAGTATGGTGTAGAAATATTTTTAAAGTGCCGGTTTGAATAAACAGTATGTGAAGCATAACCCTTTTTATCTTTGGCCACTCTTAAAAACTGTGTTTCATTTGAAAAACTCCATTGTCTTTTTTCAAGATACTTTGTCTTTATATTAAATGCATGATCTGCATAATTACCCCAGGGAAGCTGCTTTCTGATTTTATGATGGAGGCAATTCTAGAAACAGGATTCTGATCTGAGATAAAGGGACAGAGGCTGAAAAAAATCTAGCTTTTTGCTACATGATTTCTTCTTTTAGGTAAACCTCAGTTGAATCAGGCCCCAAACATGCTGTGATCTTGGAAAAAGAGGCTAATGGATTTCCTGATCATCATGAAGACATACATGAAGCAGGGACACAGGTTAATAGGCTTGATTCTCCATTTGTTTAAGTCAATCACTAATAAGCATTAAGTTCTCTGTAAGGCACATTTGGTCTTTAGAGTCACTTTGGGAGTTGAGTATTAAATGGAATTTTCATTAGAGTCTCTCCCAGAACTCAAAATTTACCATTAGGAACTGATTTGAAAGAATCTCAATGCTACATAATCAGGTAGGCGAAGCTTTATGAATTGGGGCTACTTTAGAAAAAAGGCCTGTTTGAATTACTGAGCTTTCAAAGCGAGAGAGCATATCTAAAGTAATACAGTGTTATTACTTTCAAATCAAGCCAATAAAACTGTGCTTTCAAGAGACAGTCTGCAAGTCCCCCAGTTAATAAACAGTCAGGACTTACTTGTATTTGGTTCCATTAAACTCCTTAAGATTATTTTCATGGATGTAATAGCAATATTTAGCACAATCTTTTTTAAAAGGTACAAATTCCAGATCAAAGGTGTCTGGATGAATGAGAGCACACTACATCACATTACAAAAATCTTGCAGATATAGGGCCTTGGGAACTTAGAAACGCCCTGATGTGTCCTGATTCCCGTGGCTGTATCAGTTCAACACTTCCAGCAGGCTTCTGCTAAGTGTTTCCGAATTTCATGCACAAAAGCTAGGGAATTTGCATGGAAAATCTTCCATTAAGAAATGGGGCACCTTACCTTGAAACCAAGCTACCATGCTGATTTTGGGGGTTCAGGGTCAAAGGTTAGGAGGAAACGGGGGTAGTTGAAGGAGGGGAACAGAGAGGAGGAGGTGAGGTGGGTCGCGGGAGGGAAGACTGAATCGTTTTATATAGTTTAATACAATCTTTGCCTTAGGATTTACATCTTGGGATCATTTGGTTTTAAATATAAAAAGTAAATAAAACATTTAGCAAGTAAACATTTAAGAAGTCTTTCCCTGACTTAATATACTTCCTCATATATAAAACATTAGCTGAACGCTGGATCTAGCACTGGGTTGAGCTTTATTTGTTTTTATAGTAGACTTTCTTTTCTAGGCTAGGTTGTTGGGCCAAAAGATATTTGCCAGAAAGTTCATCTTAATTTTGATGATGAAGAGTGTAAGTAGGCAAATTTAGGCTCACTTTTGGGAAGTGAACTGTTGATCATGGGTGTATTCTTGTCAAGTATCTCCTGTAGATGGGTCTATAGAGCATAAAATTAGCTGATGGATGCCCAGAATTCATTTACTGGCTGAAGGCTGTGCAGAAAGCCAATATGGATAATTTCAGAACATAATTGAATCTAAGTAGCCTCAAAGATACTCTCTAATGGAACCCTTAAAAATGAGCATATTAAAAAAATAAACAGAAGTGGGCATATTTACTCAGATTAATAGCATGTGGTAGAGTATGTTCTGTGTCCTTAACCACTGGAGATAAAACAAGAGGAGAAATGGTTATTTCTTGGGCTAATATATTATAAAACATCTATGCGTTTTTAAATTCACAGTGAGAATATTAATTTCTTTTCATCTTATTAGTTCTCTCCCTGTCTTTTTTTTTTTTCTTTCCCCTCTCCCTGTCTTAAAAGCCAGACATTACACTCTTGCAAATCCATTTAGTTATTGTTGATTTGGGAAAAATAAATAAATTCAGTTCTTAAACATGCCAAAAATTGAGGAGGACAGCCAGACACAGGCTGTGGATGATCACAGGCCGTGAATGTTGGAATTTGGTTCTAATTTGAACTTAAACTTCATGTTGCATTCTGGTGGAATCCTGGGACGGGGACTAGAGCTGGGCTGAGCTCCGAGCTCACTGGTCCCAGGGCAATTACCTTGCAGCCTTCACACGTGATGCAGCGGTAGTGATACCCGGTGGCTTTGTCACCACACACTACACATAGCTCGTCCTTGTCTAAATAACTGGGGATGTACCCTGTGAAGAAGGAGAAAAGAGGAATGTGAGGAGAAAATATCACGCTAAAGTCAAAGACACACCATAGCTTGGCAGAGGATAAAAGGAGGACAGGAGATAAGGCGCATGAGGGAGGAGGCAGGACCAAATTGTTTTATACACTTTAATCCAATTTGCGCTTTAGTGTTTACATCTTGTCATCATTTAGTTTTAAATATAAAAGGTAAATAAAATATTTAACAAGAAAAATTTTGAAGTCTTTCCCTGACTTCATATACTTCCTCCGTATCTTATACTTATCTGCTACATTCTCTCATACGTATAGAGTTGGATAGGAGGCCCAGGATTTCAGAATGCCTTAGAAATAGGTGTGATCATTCTTGCTCTGCAGGTGGGAATATATCTGAAGGCTCTTGGAGCCAATGAATCATACAGAGAGGCCAAGATTTGAGACATCTGGAGTGCTCTGGGTTCTGGGAGAACATAATCTCTTTTGCAAGCCTTTTTTCAGAATTTTTTCTTAGAAGACTGGATCCACTTTGGAATCAAGGCACCATGCAATAAATTCAGAAAACTTTATAGCTTGGAGATCATCAAGTAATTTTGAGCTGAACAGACTTTCAGAGGTTTGCTTGGCCTTCCTGAGGGTCACACTAGAAATTAAAGCAGAGATCTTCTAACCAGATCTCCTAACTTCTAGTATAAGTAATGCTTGTCTTTTTCTAAAAATAGACAGTTAACTTTAAGTAGAATGAACAAAGCCATCTAAAAAATTTTTTTTGGTAAACTTGTGCCATTATGAGACAAAACCCAACAATTCTGGGTGATGTGAAATAATGGAGGTTCTACTTATTAATTAAAAAAAGAAAGTCCAACCATGATAACTCTGTTAGTGTACTATTGGTTTATTAGTTTAAATTCTTTGACCCAGGAAACTAAAGTTTAAAAAACAAACAGAAGCAGCCTACTTCCCACCGGTCTTTGCCTCTTCCCCTTCACTTGTAGACAATGTTCAAACACAAGAAACTGATTCTAAAGGGCAAATTCAGTTTCATATGGTATCAGTGGTTTACCATTGAAGCACGTATCTTTAGATGAGTGCAGAAATCAAAATAAGGTCTGCTTTGTTGGGATGTGGAGAAGGGAAAGGCTGAGAAAACAAAATCATTCCTTTCCCAGATCATGGCCCCTTATGAAGTTTTTGACTTGGTAAGCTCTTACGGTTTCAATAAAGATTAGCCAGGTTGAAATGACAGATGACTTGCTGTATGCTTTACCATGACATTTTCATATATCTTTTATTAAACTAGGTCACAGAAGGCTTACATTTCAGAAAAAAATCCACAAAGAAAACAGAAGAAAATGAGTCCTTTTCACAATTTCTTAGAAATTACTTTGCTCAGATTTTATTTTAGAAAAATGGCCCCTCTTGGGAGGGAGACAAATGACTTCAGAGTGAGATCTGGTAATGTACAGGATTATTTTCTTAAATATCACAGCTTTTCTTAGTTTACTTTTGCATCATGCAAACCATGAGTCATCTGTTGAATTCGCTTTAAGAGTTCAAAACTTCCATCAGACATTTTTAAAAAAGAGCATTCTGGGAGGGATTGGGACAGAAAAAAAGGGGACTGGAATGATTTGTGTGTTTATTCAATCATTCATCTATTCATAAATTCAGAAAACATTTATTTAGCATGTACTATGTGCTTAGCACTGTGCTTGGTGCTGAGAATATAAAAACAAGTAAGGCATGGTTTCTTCCCTTGGTAGGCGCACGTGTAGGAAACTGAGTTGTGTACTTCCAGTCCTGGTCATTCCTTAGCAAGAGAAGAAAAGGTGAAGATGAAGGAAAGAACATGAAAGATGCTGAACAGCACCACAAGGAAATGCAAAGCCCAAACCACAATGAGACACCACTTAACATCCTCTAGTATGGTTATAATAAAAATGGTGGACAATAACAAATGTTGGTAAGGACATGGAGAAATCTGAACCTTTATATATTGCTGGTAAAAATGTAAAATGTGCCTTAGAAAATAGTTTGGCAGTTCCTCAAAAGGCTAAACATAAAGTTACATATGACCCAGCAATTCCACGCCTAGGTGTGTTCCCAAGAGAACTGAAAATACGTGTCCACACACAAACCTGTACAGGAATGTTCAAAGCAGCATTATTTATAATATCCAAGGGATGGAAACAACCCAAATGCCCATCAACTGATGAATGGATAAACAAAAGGTAGTACATTCATACAATGGAATTTATTCAGCTGTGAGAAGGAATGAAGTGTTGACTCAGGCTACAACATGGATGAACACTTATGAAATGAAGACATTATGTTAAAAGAAAGAAGCCAGACATGAAAGGCCACATATTGCATGATTTCATTTCTATGAAATGTCTAGAATAGGCAAATTCATAGAGAAAGAAATTGGATTAGTGGATGACAAGGCCTGGCGGGAGGGAGTAATGGGGAATAACTGTTAATGGGTACAGAGTTTCTTTTCATGGTGACAAGAATGTTCTGAAATTCTATAGTGTTGATGGTTGCACAACTCTGAATATACCAAAAACTACTGAATGAAAAACCATTGTTTTTCATGGGTATGTTTTGTACACTTTCAGTGTGTGAGGTCTATGGTATGTGGAATATGTTTCAATAAAGCTGTTACTACAAAAACAAAGAAATGAAGGAAATAAAAGAGAATGGTTCCATTTGACAAACATTTATATGTGTATACTATGTGCCAGGCAGTGTGCTAAGGATCTAAAGATGGCTAAGTTTCCATTCTTGGGGAAGCTTTCAGTGCGGTGGGGAAAAAGACAATAAGAGATCATCTGCATATAATGTGGAAGGCACTGGGATAGTGCTATGTCCAGAATCACAGAGGGGAAACCCTTTGAGAAGCCTTCCTGCCTCCCCCCCAGCTCAAGTCCAAACTGGGTACTCCCATACCTCCTTGTGCTTCCCCAATAGTAGTCCTTTTATATCTGTATTATAACTACCTGTGAATTTTTTCTTCCCTTTGACCATAATCTTTGATTCACTATAGGTTTGTACAATTCCAGCTAGAGGGTAGGGATTAAAACATTCATGCTGAAACCCGTGTCTAACACCTGCTCCCTCTATGGATGGCATACAGTTTTCAAGATCTCTGCCACTGGCCAATGGCGAAGAACGTGAGCAGGAGGGATATATCTGGAACCTGCAGATAAGTAGGTTTAAAGCCTGGAGCTGTGCCTGAGAAGGCTAAAGATACCAGAAAAGATTTCTGAAAGAGGTGATAATGCAGATTCAGGGGGCCAAACTTCAGAGCTAATGAAAACTGCATTAGAAACTTGATTTTTGGTAAAGAAACCAAGATTCCACTCAGATTAAAACTAACACATCCAGATTGAAGCTGATCCAAAACCTAGTGATCTGAGGAGATGCATGCTCACTAATCAACTAGATTCAGTCCTTCTTTCTTTGCTCTGATCACTAGGTTCAATACAATGAGACAGGACCAAAGAGAGCTTAAGGGCAATACCATTTTCCCACAATATAGAAATGAAAATCACAAAGACCAGGCCAGTTTGATTCAGATACCATCATCAAAAGTGAAGATTTGCAGTCTGAATTTTATACAATGTGCTCCACTTTCTACTTTGAGCTATCTAACCCACTATCCATTACATTCAAAAGAGTCTTTGCTTCCTGGCTAGGTTTCTCATTAACCCCAAGTCCCAAGGTTGTATACCACTGTCTGGTAGGTAACTGATGGTGCTGTGGTTCCAATTTAATAAGAAATCTAATAACATCTACAGGAAAACTCACTGGGCATTGCTTTATTCCAAACACAATTTTGGGGAGTCCATCTATAGGAAGAAATAACACAAAATATTCCAACAGGGCTCTGTGATCAGAGAAATAACTAGTTACCAAATGTGGGGGGAGGGTCATAGGGAAAATGGTTGGAGATACTCTGGACTTAACTAACACCAGTGGAATTCAGTGATCAGTCTTTAGGAATCAAAAGCAATGTATGTATTAGTTTCTTAAAAACTTTCTTTTTAAATAAAAAAATTATACAAGTAATACAGTTCATTATAGAAAAAGTAAAAGACATAAGTGAGCAAAAATGAAATTTGCCTGTCAACTCTCCCCCACAGAGATAACCACTGTAGCATTTTGGTGTTTCTTCATCTTGGATTAGTATGTGTGACTGTGTGTGCACACATTTGTGTGTGCATTGAAACACAGGCTTAATAAAACACAAAGTAACTTTTAAGCAACAAAGTAACCCAATTATTAAAACACACACCGTTCTAGTAAAGGTAGATGGAATACATATATCCATGTCAGGAAAGCTATCTCTTGATCTCTTATATGTAGAGGTTATGTATAGTTGATCAGAGTGAGGACTTCTCAGTTCTTGGTATCAGGGGCCCACAGGAGAGATAAGGGAGAAAGAGATAAGGGCACATCCTTCTCATATTCGGGAACCAATTGTAATACAGTTGGACACTGTATTGCTTATGGGACATGCCTTGGGAGGGCCAGAGAATATTAACCAGAGTTAAGTTACTTGTCCCTCACCATTTCTCATTCTACCTCATGACTTGCCTGCTCTATCTGGTGGTGTTGGCAGTAAGATACTGAAAATTTCCTCCTCCCTGTAGTTCAACAATTTACATAGATGGTTGAACTCTCTGACCTTTAGGTTCTTGTGAATCCTGGAATCCAGTGATAATTCAGTCTGTGAGTAGAGTGGGCTCTTTCCATTTTCTGACTGCTAGTCTTATGGGTGGTTTGATTTGTTCTCTGATTTCTCCTAGATTGTCTTCTTGGTAGATGAATAGGTGATTTCATATGTCTTTAGTGAAATCGTCACGACTTTTATAGAAACATCTACTTAAGTTGGTTGCAGCTGCTTACATGGTCATCCTAGTGTACCCCACCCATCTCTTTCTTTTCTCTAAAATATTAACTCAGAACCATCTTATTTACCCAAAACAGTCACCACAGGCAATGATAC